GATGAGAATGAGGATGCGGATGATGATGATGGTGATGATGATGATGATGATGCTGATGATGATGATGATGATGCTGATGATGATGATGATGATGATGATGATGATGATGCTGATGATGATGATGATGATGATGATGACGATGCTGATGGTGATGGTGATGATGATGATGCGGATGCGGATGCGGGTGCGGATGCGGATGAGGATGAGGATGAGGATGAGGATGCGGATGAAGATGATGAGGAGGACGAGGGGGAGGAGGCGGAGGGGGAGGCGGAGGGCGGAGGAGGAGGTAGGAGGAGGAGGAGGAGGAGGAGGAGGTGGAGGAGGAGGAGGAGGGAGGAGGGAGGAGGGGGAGGAGGGAGGAGGGCAGGAGGGAGGCGGAGGCGGGCGCGAGGGAGGAGGGAGGTAGGGAGGAGGGAAGAGGGAGGAGGGAGGAGGGAGGAGGGGGAGGGAGGAGGGAGGAGGGAGGAGGGAGGAGGAGCGAGGAGGAGGGAAGGAGGAGGAGGAGGTGGAGGGGTGGTGAAGGAGATGATGGAGGAGAGGAGGACAAGGAGGAGGAGGTGGAGGCGGAGGAAGAGGAGGAGGAGGTGGCCGTGGAGGAGGAGGTGGAGGTGGATGTGGAGGTAGACGTGGAGGAGGAGGAGGAGGAGGAGGAGGAGGAGGAGGAGGAGGAGGAGGAGGAGGAGGAGGACCAGGACGAGGAGGACCAGGACGAGGAGGAAGAGGAGGAGGAGGTGGAGGAGGAGGAGGAGGCGGCGGAGGAGAGAGGAGGATGGCGGGAGGGATGGAGGAGGGAGCGGGAGGGAGGGAGGGAGGGAAGGGGGACGGGAGAGAGGGGGGGAGGGAGGAAGGAAGAAGGAGGAAGGCGGGGGGAGGGAGAAGAAGGAGGGCGAGGAGGAGGTGGAGGAGGACGAAGAGCAGGAAGGGAGGGGGGAGGGAGGGAGGAAGATCGGGATGAGGAGGAGGAGGAGGAGGAGAAGGAGGAGGAGGAAGGGAGGTAGGAAGATGATGATGATGATGCTGATGATGATGATGATGATGATGATTATGATGATGATGATGATGATGAGGAGGAGGAGGAGGATGAGGATGAGGATGAGGATGAGGATGAGGATGACGATGCTGATGATGATGATGATGGTGATGGTGATGATGATGATGATGCTGATGATGATGATGATGATGATGATGATGCTGATGATGATGATGTTTAATGAGGATGAGGATCATGATGATGATGATGATGATGATGGTGGTGATGATGATGATGATGATGATGATGATGATGATGATGATGATGATGATGATGATGCTGATGATGATGATGATGATGATGATGATGAGGAAGAGGAGGAGGAGGAGGAGGAGAGGGAAGAGGGAGGAGGGAGGAGGAGGAGGAGGAGGAGGAGTGAGGAGGAGGAGGAGGAGGAGGAGGAGGAGGAGGAGGAGGAGGAGGAGGAGGAGGAGGAGGAGGAGGGAGGAGGAGGATGAGGAGGATGGAGGAGGAGGAGGGAGGAGGAGGAGGGAAGAGGAGGAGGAGGAGGAGGAGGAGGAGGAGGAGGAGGAGGAGGAGGAGGAGGAGGGAGGAGGAGGAGGAGGAGGAGGGGGAAGAGGAAGGGGGGGGGAGGGGGAAAAAGGAGGAGGCGGAGAGGAGGCGCCCCAAGGAGAGGAGGAGGAGGAGGAGGAGGAGGAGGAGGAGGGTGGAGTGCAGGAGGGAGGAGGGAGGAGGGGAGGAGGGAGTGAGGGAGAAGGAGGAGGATGAGGGGAGGAGGAGGAGGAGGAGGAGGACGAGGAGGAGGAGGAGGGGAGAGAGGGAGGAGGGAGGAGGGACGAGGTAGGAGGGAGGAGGGAGGAGGAAGGAGGGACGAGGTAGGAGGGAGGAGGGAGGAGGAAGGAGGAGAAGGAGGAGGGAGGAGGGCGGAGGAAGAGGAGGAGGAGGAGGAGGAGGAAGAGGAAGAGGTGGAGGGGTGGACCCAGATATGATCGCGTCGTGAAGACATAAGGAGGGGATGTTTTTAGCTATTCTTGGCCTCGGGGTGCCCTCACCGGGCCTCGGGACCGTCAAAAACCACTCAGGACGATAAACTGGTCCCGTGAAAGAATCGGGACTTCCAGGGACTCCGTCCTGAAAGTGTCAGGACGTCGCATGTCTGGAAACAGAACCATCACCCTGACACGTTGTTTCGTGAATTGTCTGTTTCCAGTGCTCGAGGGCGCCGCGGCCGTCATTTTCCAGGCTTGCGCCCGCCAGGTTGGGCCCAAGGTCGTTTTCACTAAACCACGTTTTGCTAAAGGGGCCTCTGTCCATCCCCGAGAGGTGAGCGCTGGCGCCGACTACAGCCCGAAGAAGAACGAATTGCACTCACATAAACTTATGTCGCTCCGCGCTGATTTCTCGGATCCGCGCTGGCCCCCCCCCGGCCGGCAACTCCCGCGCCGCCCCTGGCGCGCACCGCGCGCCAGGGAGGGGGGCCCAACGCAGCTCCAAGAAATCCGCGCTGAGCGCCACAAGTTTAGGGTGATGCCGCTCTTTTCTTCTCCGATGCAGCGTGGAGGACTCCACGGAGCTCGAGAAGTGCGACTACTTCGAGGCTGAAGTCGGGCCTGCTGCTCTTCAGGAGGAGTAGCCAAAAATAGAGCAAAACAAGTAGTCTGGTGACTCTTGTTGGATTTGTTGTTTTGCCATTTTGGTGCATTGTTGGAGTATTGTAGATTTGTCGCGCAAGGTCCGCCTGTAGGGGGACACGCCCGACCTAACTCTTGGCATCGCTCGGACGTGTGCATTTTTCCTTCGGCGAGGACCATCGAGGAGCATCCTCGATCATTTGGCGAGGAAACCACGCACGAAACCGAAAAAAACATAGGAAATTGACGTCCGAGCGATGGCCAGAACTCGAGGCCGTCGAGCCCAGCGGTCCTTCCGAGCCCCGCGCTGCGTCCCCGAGCGCCCCCGGCGACGCGCTGGACGGCATCCTCGGAGGCCGGCGCAGGCCACCGGAGCTCAAGCCCATGGGCCTCACGCCGGTGTCGGCGGCTCCAGGGTCTTCCTCTCGACCCAAACGGGGGCCCAGAGATCCAACGCATTGAAAAAGTCATCACGGCGGGGGTGATTCGCTCATTTCGGCCCCCAGGGGCCCTCGCCGGGCCTCGGGAGCGTCAAAAATCGACTCACGATGACAAACCGGTCCTGGGGAACGGGTCGAGACTCCTGGGGGCCCCGAATTGGAAAAATCACGACGTTTGATCTCTGGGGGTCCAGCTGAAAGGGGGTGGTGCAGTAGGTCTGGTGCAATACACTTGTGGGGTTGCCATAGATTCGGGGCGTGCAGTACATGCAGGCGCGCAAGTGTATTGCTGGACTTTCGCGTGCCATGCGCGAGTTGCCATACAATGCAACATTCAGGAGGGGAAAAACAAACAGACACAATTAATTGACGATTCCCAGGAAAATGCGTATGGGTGCGTATGGGAAATTATGGGAAGTGGTGGGGGAGACAAAAACCTAGAAGATATGCGACAATCTGGAGAATCCTGTTAGTTGTGTGTATTTGTTTGTGTGTCCCAGGGCCCCTTCAAACACAATTCTCTGGCGCCAGACAATTGCAGCACGCTTGCCCCAGGCCTATCGCACCACCGCCGCCTTCTTGCTGGACCCCCTCTTGGGTCATCCCCAGGTCTGCCGCCTCGACGGGCACCGTGATCCGCCACTCGCCCGTGGCCTCCACAACGCCACCGGGCGGGGCTGCCGCCAGCCCCGCCGCGGGGAGCCCGGGCCAGGCTGCCGGCGCGGAGGACCACGCGGAGGAGTCCTTCGACGAGGACATGTCCATCCCAGAGTCGATCCCCTCCGGCAGCGACGACGAGGTCTGAGCGGCCGTCGCTTCCGAGTGCACGCGGTCGAGTGTGTGCGCGGAAAGAGCGGTCTGTGTGTTGCTTCGCAGTGCCGCTGTGGAGAGCGTGTTGTGGGCGCATTGTGCCTCTTCACCACACGTGGTCGTGTGAGCAGCTCGCGCAGCCTTGCTCCTTGGGGAGCGCGTCTCAGGCCCCCCCCCCATCATGAGCACACATTCAATTCTTCATCGTTTATCCTCCCGCGTTCAGAGTGAGGGAGGGGACGGGGGGAACGACGTAAGGAGGGAGCGCGCTGCCTGGGATTTCTCTGATACTCCCCTTTCTCGTGGGAAACGATGGATGAAGAGCTATGGGCGGTCTGGACAGAAAGGTGTCACGGAGGGTCTACGGTCTAGGGGATCTTGCGTGACTGGGGATCGGCTGATTTTGCCTTGATTGAGATTGGTCGTCTTGGGGCAGTTTCCTTGCTCTGAGGGTAGCTGACCCAGCGCCCACCATCCAAACGTTGTGTGATGAGTTGTGTGGGTGCTGGGCACGCAGTGGTTACTTCTCTTGTTGGCAACCGAATTGCGCTTGTGGCCGCGGGAGGCAGTGCAAGCCAGCTGCTGTCTAAAAATCGTTTGAGGTTGACGTCGACTTTTTTTGCTTGTGTTGGGACAACTCAGCAGGTCGTCGACCAAAACTCGATGTTTGCCCAGCTCTATAGTGATACCTTCAGGACTCTGAGTGCAGGCCTATTGGCGAGCCCACCCATATAGTGTCCAGAGCGACTCTGTGATCACGCCGGGGCGATCAAAATCAGTGGTTGAGACAGTTGTTGATGACATCATGATCCTCGACCTTGGCAAGGCATGGCCAGGAGTATGATGCTGCTGGAGGGCGATCTTGCTCCCGTACTTGACGACTTTCGCGGCGACTGCGGCGACGACGGCTCTCGTTTTCGGCTTCTGCTGCCGACGCCGCTGGGGTCAACCTCTGCGCGCAGGCGCGCGCGCGCGCGCCCCCCCGTTACCAGCCTGGAACATATCCCTATCCCTATGCTGGGCACCTCCTCATCACGATGCCAATCTTAGGGATTCCCTTATTTGTTGAGGGCGAATCCCTAAGATTGTCATCGCCTTTTGGCGTGTCAATCTTAGGGATAGGGATACGTTCGAGGCTGGTAACCCCGCCCGCGTCGAGAGGTGCTCGAGCTGCGAGTCAACTTGATGAGCTGCGAGACCATGAATGGCGCCGCCCTGTTGCCACCCCTCCTCGGCGTTCGCCTCAAGGGGGAAGGAGGGGGCAGTGGCCAGAGCGGACGCTCTTGCGGTCACGGCCCATGTGCTGCTTGCTTGCGTTGGCAGCGGAGAGGGTGGCACAGATGGCCACAGCTACTGTCAGGAAGAACCTTGCGCCCGCCCCCAGAGCTCGGCGCGTGAGGAAGCCCACCACGCATGTTTTTGCTGGCTTCCCCGAGGGAGCCTTCTGTTGCAAGATTCGTTGGAGGCAGGCCACCACCCTCTCCTCCCTCAAGTCTCTGTCGGCCCGTCTCTGTGACCCCCAAACTCCAGGGCCTGGCCATCTTGTGCAAGTGTCTGAGCGTGTACTTCTCTGTACGCGCTGCGGAGCGCACGCGGTGCGCCCACAGCGACTCTCGGTCGGCCTGGTACGAGCTTGCAAGGGGGGCGGGACTGGTGCGTCGGGGAGTCGGGTGGAGCGGGATCGGCTGCAGAGGTTTCTCGAGAATGCCCAGAAGGGCCGTCATCCCAAGACGGGAGAGGCCTGAGGCACATTGTTGCTGGCCGACGTGCCAGCGGATTTCTCTCGTGAGTCCGTGGGCTCCCGGCAGGTGCCTCCGCGGGTGGGGGCCGTGGGTCCTGGGACCGAGGCCGTTGGCCTGCGTGGCGCGGTGGTGCTCGAAGACGCCCCAGTTTTGGACTCACGGCCCGCGTTGGCCGCGTGAGCACCCGTGCACGGTGCTGGCGCCTGGCCGCACCGCTTGGGCGACCCCCAGGCTAGCTGGGTCGCCCCATTTTGTCTCGAGGCGGCTTCGTGTTTTCACCGGGCCGCTCTCTGCATTGCTCCATTGCTCCTCCTCCTCCTCCTCCTCCTCCTCCTCCTCCTCCTCCTCCTCCTCCTCTTTCCTCCTGCTTCCCCCCTCCTCCTGCCTGCCTCCTCCTCCTCTCCTCCTCCTCCTCCTCCTCCTCCTCCTCCTCCTCCTCCTCCCCTCCCTCCTCCTCGTCCTCCCCCCCATCCCGTCCTCGTCCTCCTCCTCCTCTTCCTCCTCCTCCTCCGCCTCCCCCTCCTCCTCCTCGTGCCGTCTGCCCTCCTCCTGTCCCTCGTCACCCACCTGGCCCTCCACGTCCTCGTCGTCCTCCCCCTCCGCATGCTACTCTCCTCGTGCTCGCCCTCCTCCTCCTTCCTCTCACGTTCCCCCCCCCTTTCCACTGCCCCGTGCTCCACATCCTCTTGTCCCCCATGAGAGGGGCGATAGGGTTGGGGGAGGTGGGGAGGGGGAATGGCCATCGAGGGGGCCATAAAATGGGGCAGGAGGGCCGCTCTTCTTCGTGCTCCGTCCTTCCCAGGAGGAGAGGGAGGAAAAGGAAGAGGGGGAGTTGGAGCAGAACGGCTCAACTTCGTCCCCCGTCCTTCCTAGGAGGAGAAGAAGGAAAAGGAGGAAGGGGGAGTCGGAGCAGAACGGGACCGCGGATCCAGGAAACCGCGCGAAGCCGACACACTTGCTTCAACTGGCGTTCGCGCCGCCGCAACGCGCAGCGCAGCGGCGTCGCCGCCGCGAGTACTCAAGGTTAAATGTTCCCTCCATGGGGGTACACATTGTTCATTTCTAAGTATTCGATGGTTCTTTGACCTTTTGGGGGGCCGAGATCCTTTCATTTCTAATTGTCATATCCAGGGCCTCTTCCTGGCCTCTAGGGGGCCAGCAACAATTACAAACGAGCACACTTAGCAATGATCTCATTTAGACACGAACGACGTGTAGTCTTGGGCCTTCGTGCCCACAGAAAGCAACCAACGGCACAAAACCCATTTGTACGTAAGAGACGAGTTCGATACCGCCTCGGAGCCTCCGAACAAAAAAAAGCAGCCCAAGGTCAAACGACGTATGCGGCGCCAGAAAACAAAGCCGTCATCGTCACGGCGCTGAGTCTTCAATATGCGCGAACCGTCCCAGGGACAGCCCCATTCTTCTTAAACGTATGCCCTCCGTGCAGATGAAGACAATGAGGGCGGATGCGACGACGGCTATGATGACGACGTCTTTGGGCCTAGGGTTTCTGGAACCGGAGCCTGCCTGAACTCGCCAATTTCGTTTCACCCCACCCAATAACGAAGTAGGTCCCCCTCTGCCATCCCAGACGAGAAGTGCGTTGGGAGGAGAAGGACGAGAGGGAACAGCAGCCGACATGCATGCGTATGATTTAGACGTGCGCGGCCACACAGACACCCCCCGGTTGCAGGTTACGAGCCCTGCTGCGGCCTACACATTGCCTTCTGTCGCTGCTCGAACGAGCCCTTATGGAGGAGGGGGAGGATCGATTGGGAGGAGGAGGAGGAGGAGGAGGAGGAGGAGGAGGAGGAGGAGGAGGAGGAGGACGGGGACGAGGACGAGTAGGGAGGAGGAGGAGTGAGGAGGGAGGAGGAGAAGGGGGAGGAGGAGGAGGAGGGGGGAAGAGGGAGGGAGGAGGGGAGGGAGGGAGGAGGAGGAGGAGGAGGAGGAGGAGGGAGGAGGGAGGAGGGAGGAGGGAGGAGGGAGGAGGGACGAGGGACGAGGGAGAAGGGAGGAGGGAGGAGGGAGGAGGGAGGAGGGAGGAGGAGGAGGAGGAGCAGCAGCAGCAGAGAAGGATGCCAGGATCATGGCGGGGATAACCATGAGAACCACTTGTCGGTCCCCCCCTTTGCGGCGACAACCTATCACCTCCCGCCCCTGGAAGTAATACCCCCAGCCTCTGAATTCCAATATGTGCCCGTCGCCCCAGCGCCGCGCACATTCGTCCCGACAGCAGCATGTGGAAGTTTCACGGGTGAAGGGCGGGTCCTTCTCACAATGTGATTCTCGCTTGGTCGTCGTGCACAGCTTTTGTAAACGTTTGCGTGCTTCTACGCGTTGAGGGCGTTTTTTGTTCAGAATGCGTCTGTCCTCACAGTTCGGAAGCTCTTCGCGGATGGAGGGAGGGTCCTCTTCAGAGCGTGGTTCTGGACGTCGCGCCACGCACATTTTAAGTGAGAGTTCGCCCGAGCTTCACAGATGGAAGGCGGGTCTTTTTCAGAATGTGGTTTTCGCTTCAGCGCCGCGCGCATGCGTTTCAACCGTCCGCAAGCACTTCCTGGATGGAGGGCGCCTCCTTTTCGAATTCTGGCCCTTCGCCGGCGCGCCGCGGTGATCCGCGTCGGCACAGTGGAGGAGCTGCGCGGGTGGAGGGCGAGCCCCTGTTCAAGGAGTTGTTTTCTCGCCTTCGCGCCGCGCCACGTCGCTTCAGACGTGGCCCGCGCCCCAGCGCCGCGCGGCGCCGCGCGCCTCCGCGCAAGACGTTTGTCAGAGCTCCACGGGTGGGGGGCGTTTTTTTGTGTTTTGTGTGCAAGGGGAGGCCCTCGCCCTGGCGCCGCGCACATTCCTTTCAGAAGTTCGCGGGGGCTTTACGAGTGCAGGGCGGGTCCTCGTCTAGAATGTGGCTCGCGTTCTAGTGCCGCGCGCCTTCGTTGCAAAAAAGTGCAAGCATTTCAATGATGGAGGGCGGGTCCTGTTCAACATGTGGACCGAGGGTGGAGGTTCACGGATTGAGGGCGGGTTTCTTTTCGGAATTTGGCTTTCGCTTGAGCGCCGCACAGATTCGTCTTACACGGTTGCAACAGTCACGCGGGTGAAGGGCAGGTCTTTCTCAGGATTCTGACGGCTTGAACACCAAAAGACTCCGGACGCATATCGACGCCAAGCGGCCCAATGCGTCGATGGATTCAAATTCTCAAGAGGCATTGCGACGCCACGCGCGTTCTGCACTGCTTGCGTGCACGCCTTCGCGCGCGATGCGCCAAGACAAAACATAATGGCCATCCGAACCTCGACAAATTATATGGTGCACACCAATTGTTGCACTCGTTTTCTGGAGGCCCACTGTGAATTAACGCATTGCGACGCAGCGGGCTTTCAGTATTGCTCGCGCCTGCGCGTGCGCAATCCGAAAACCAATGCACAATGGCCGCAGTTCATTCGAAACCTGATTAGCGAAAATGAAGTGCTTCCCTCGCACCAAAATGGCTCCAACGTGGGATGCTGCATCGCGGCGCAACGCGCGTTCCCCACTGCCCGCGCGCGCTCGCACGCGGGCGCCCGCGCCCTCCCGCGCGCGCAGTGCAGACGCCAGTCGCAAATGGTCGTGCTGATTCAGAAGACAGAATGGTTCGTCCAGGCGGACGGTGTCGGCATATTGGAAAGAGCGTGTTCTACCGCTGCTGGCGGAAAACCGAGGGGGGGTCACTACCGGTTCGAACCCCTCCCCCCCCCCCCCTCTCCGGAAAACCGGGGGGGGTCACTACCGGTTCGAACCCCTCCCCCCCCCCTGTTCATCATGAAAAGGGGGGGGGGTCACTACCCGTTCGAACCCCCCCCTCCCCCCCCAAAAAAAACCGGGGGGGGTCACTACCGGTTCGAACCCCCCCCCCCTCGAAAACCGAGGGGGGGGTGCGGACAGTGGTGGGGACGGTGGTGATGGGGACAGTGGTGAGGGGACAGCGGGACAGTGGTGGGGACAGTGGGACAGTGGTGGGGGCGGTAGTGGTGGGGACAGTGGTGAGGACAATGGTGGGAACAGTAGGGACAGTGGACAGTGGTGGGTACGGTGGTGGTGGGGACAGTGGTGTGGGGACAGCGGGAACGAGGTAGAAACAGTGGGACAGTGGAGGGTACAGTGGTGGGGACAATGGTGAAGGCGGAGGCGAGGACGGCGGTGGGACAATGGGACAGAGGTGCAGTGGGGACAGTGGTGCGGACAGTGGGGACAGTGGTGGGAACAGTGGGACAGCTTAGTGGGACAGCGGAGGAGTCAGTGGGACAGTGGGGACAGTGGGGATAGTCGGGCAGTGGTTGGGGCCGTGGAGAAAGTGGGGAGAGTGGAACCCTGGTGGGAACAGTGGTGGGGACAGTGGGGACAGTGCGACAGTGGTGGGGGGCACTGGTGGGGAGAGTAGGGACGGTGGTGGAGCCAGTGGGGACAGTGGTGGTGAGGACAGTG